TGCACCTTGAAGACGATTGATTGCCTTTTTATCATAGAGGACCTTTTTCTTATCATCTTCATCCCATGCAGTTTTAGGCTTTAATGAATCAGCACCATTGATCATTGTTATAGGAATAAATGGACCACTATCGAAAGCATCCCATATTTCTTCTCCTTGTGCTTCTAGATGTGCCTTCATGCGTATTTTCCAGAAGTCAAAATATTCACCACAAAATAGAGGAGGCTTGTTATTACTACCACCATCTCTGAAAACGAGATTTTAATTTGTGGAAGCCATTCTAGATCTTTTAGGAACAGGTTACCTATAACCTGCTCTGATACCAATTATAAGTACAAAGTGCGCCTAAGAGGGGGGGGGGGGTGAATTAGGTACTTTAAAAGTTTTACCGTTTTAGTGATGATGGATATTATTTTTCTGGTTTAGTGCATGAGTTTACAAATGTGTTTCTTTCTTTTTTGGTTTATGACTAGTGATGAAAGCGGTAAATGCGGAAAAGTAAAGAACACAAAGATGTATCCTGGTTCCCCTCACAGTACGAGAGTACTCCAGTCCCCTTTCAACATGAAAGATATTTCCTTATTGTTAGATCTCTAGAAAAGACACCCTAGTCCTTCTATACAAGACCCTAACCAATAAAACCACCAAGAACAATCTTCTTGGACCAAGAACAATCCTCTTGGATTTTCACTATGTCAACAATTAAAATAATCCTCTCGAAATAACTTTACTTGTATCCAACAATCCTGAAAAAATAAGATTACAAAACCACTTGAACTTATTTTCAACAATCCTGAAAAATAAGCAAGTATATAGCAATATTTGATTTGAGTGAGTTTGTGTAACAATGATCACTTTGAGTGATTTTATCAATGAATTTATCTTATTCTAATAACAATAGTATACAATGACTCAAGATATATGATGCTCAAACTTTTCTGGTTGACAATATGTGAAAGTGTGCAAAAAACTTATGTATGAAAGTGTATAAAAGCTTGAGTTTGATTTTTGAAAATTCAGAAAATATGTTTGGAAGAGGTACTTAAAATGATTTTGAAAATGAGTATTTATGTGTTCATAGCATCCTTTTGAAATAACATATAATTCTGCAAATGAATCATGAACAATTATCAAGATTGAGTGAATGGTTTCCATGAAATGGTGTTATGAACAGGCATGAGTAAAGCTGTTGTTTTTCAAAATCGTTCAGCATGCAATCAATTGCACCCTTGTATAAATCGATTGCACGGGGTTTCAACAGCTAAAAATTCAAATAATTTGAGTGAGCAATCGATTGCACAAGTGTGTAAATTGATTTCACTTGAATTCAGTAGCGAAAATTGATTGAGAGTAATCGATTGCACAAACATGCAAATCAATTGCACTTAGAAACAATAGCTAATACTTTGAAAACGTGAAGCATGCAATCGATTTCATCAACATGCAAATCGATTGCACCCAAGTGAAAAATGATTTTTTGCTTTAGAAAACTTGAGAAAAAGTTTGGACAAGATAATTTTTTTCTTTTGACCATTGAGCATCTATGTCTTAAGTTCAAAGTAAGTATTATCATTATACCTTGAAATTTTCTAAGAGCTTGAACCAAAGACTTTTATCTATTGATGCTTTTAGTTTGATCAACATCTTTGCATTCTTACTAATATAGTTTGTCTTCATCAAAACAAAATTCATTGAGAATCATTTGAGAAGCCTGATATTACAATTTGGTTAAGAAATGAATGAGATATGTGGATTTGAACTTGGCTTGATGAATTCTGTTTTTACAAGTTCAAAATATGTTGATTTCAGTGACTTTCACGCGCGATTTTCTCCATGCATCATGAATCGTTGTTGAAAATTCTTGATCCTACATTAATCTACTTCATGAGATATTTATTTTGATTACAAATTCGTGCGTTTTCATCAAGAATTGAAGGAGATATCATGATCTGAATCCAGCATTAAAAAGTAATTAATATGTGTTAGGGCATGGTTCAGTGGTAGGGACGATGACGTGGCACGCTTAAATTGAACATGTTTTGATTTTCTTTTACAACGTGTTTTTGCTTTAACGGGTGTAATAAGCTTTGGTTTCTTTTTGAATTTTTAATACATTTTTAATTTATTTCTTATTTTTGTTTTTATATTTTCTCTCATCCAAAAATTATCAAAAAAATATATTAGACTCTATTTTTAGTCTATTTTTACATTATGAATTTTATTTCTTTTTTTTAATTATTTTTAGAACATTAAATAAATCAATGAGTTCAATTAGGGTTTTTATCATCTTTTAAGTTCTAGAATTTTATTTTTCAAGTTTTACTAATATAAAAAATCCACAAAAAATAAAATAAGTTTAAATTTGAATCTATTTCATAAAAATAATTTTTGTTTGATTTTATAAAATTTTGTGACAAATAAATAAAATCAGCCAATAGTTATATCTTTTTTTTTTACCTTTTTTTGTTATATTGTGCAAATAATTTATTTTTGATATCTTTTTTATTGATAAAATTACACAAAAGTATACTTGCTAACCCTTAGGTATTAAAACAATTTTCTATAATTTTAAATTGAATTTACATTTTAATTTTCCTAATTTTTCAAATTTTAGAAACTAATGATAATTTTTGGACATTCTTTTTGCTTAAGCTAGAAGAGACATTTTAAAACCTAACTTCCTCTACTTGAAAAAATCAAAGAAAAATATATTTAATTTTCTTGGATACTTTAAAATTACAAAAAAATTTTTTGTTGAATTTTAACTTTTGATTATATATTTTTCACAAATATTATACTAAAACTCTCTAGTTTGACCCTTTTATTAACTAGTCTTAGTAATTCCTAATCATTTCTAACTCCTCAATTAAATCCAAGGAATATTAATCATGTTTATGACTATTACAAGTCTTTAAATAGTTAGGTTTTAATTGACTCAATTTTTTATAGGATTTTCTTCTTCTTTTTAAACTAATTTTGATTTGGGAACATATTAGGGTTTCACCTTGACCATTTGCTTGTGTTTAGAAGTTTAAAGCTTGATTCTATCTTTCTTCAACACCTTTCTCTCTCAGCCAATCTTGGTTACTTCTTATCCATCTCTCTTGGTGTGTTTAAGATCTTCATCCTTTGTTTTGATTGATAGAGTTAATTGATCTTGATCTGCTATCCCTTTTCCCTCCTCTTTTAGACCCACTTTTTGTATGCTTTCCTTAAGTTTTCAATTCACTCTACTCTAAATGTGAACTGAATAGACCTTAGGCTTATATCCATGTATGCTAACATAGGGTAGAGATTTCTCTTTTCAAAACTCAACTTTAGGATCAATCATTGTATGATAACATTAGGGATTAGATTTAGGTTAGACTCTCTTAGTTATTTTTCTTTCTTTTGCATCCTTGCATTTAAAACAAAAACACTTAAAAATTACTGATAAGAATCATACCTTTGTTGAGCATGGGAGATGATAAACGGGTTTCTTCTCGATCTTATTGCTTTTCCATTCTAAGCCTTGGTGTGGTTCAAATCTCAAAGACTTATTTCATGAATAAGTGGAGAAATGTCTAATATCTCTCTCTTGAGATTAACTACCTGTCATCCACAATAAAACACCAACCAATACAAACTCTTTTTGCCTTCGGGCTTTTCTTTCAAAAAAATTTCAAAAGAACATGTCAATTCACTTCTGTGTTGACGCGTAAGTCTTCAAATGTCGAGTTGCGACTGAATGCGTAATTAATATTGTTCATTAAAAAAATATAAACCAACAAAACTTTTGAAGTAGAACTACGACTGCTCTGATTCCTTAAAAGGGATACGTATGCATTGGGGTAGGGCCCGAACGAACACAACTTTTATTTTTCCTACATTATTTTCTTTTTTTCTTTTGCATGCATTCTCCCTTTATATTTTCTTTTAACTTTTAAGCTTTAGACATAGACTTTACATACCCTTAGATCAGAACAAACATAAGTGGATCATGTGGGGTATCACAGACGTTTGGGATGCTAATACATTCCCCTCACGTAACCGACTTTCTTACCCGATCTATGTGGTCGCAAGACCGTGATTTCATCCCTTCAAATTTTCTCAATGTTTACCTTTCTCATCCTATGGGATAAAAGACATTCGATGGCGACTTCATTAAATTTTATCTTTTGATGATTTTCCGCCAGTTGTTTCATCGATGTTTACTTTTTCCTCCCTAAAAGATAAAAAATATTCGATGGCGACTTCATTAATTTCATAACGATGATTTATTCAACCAATTGTTTCAATACCCTTACTAATAATAACGAAAAATACACATAAAATTCATTTATCTTACTAATTAAACAAACATAAAGTGAAACGCAGTTAGAATACACTGATTTGATACGTTGGATTTAAAAAATAATAATTAAAATCTGCATATTTTGTGAAATGTCTTATGTGAATCTAACGGCCAACAATGCACAAGATATTCTAACAGCAGAGAATCGATTTCATTTCACAACCAAGCATGCTAAAAAAATCTTTTGTGAACATACATTTTGAAAATTTGTTATTGAACCGGAAACACAAAAGTGTTATTAATTATTGCTACTAACTTAAAAGATAATGTAGAATAGAAATGGAATCTAAACTTAACCCGTGCATGATTTCTAATGAGTACAAGTTCAGTTGGCTGAATATAAGAATTTACAAGTTGATTATGATTGAAACATCGCTGTAAAGGAATGAACATTTGTAGGACAAACTCTACTTTTTTGTGGACCCTTTCAACAGCTACTACATTTCCAACTATTCCTATTAGTCATGGAAATTTCCTCGATACTCCTCTCTTTAAAATAATGCGACAACTCATACAACTTATCATATATTAAGAGGAAGGTTACTCAAGGCATATATATATATATATATATATATATATATATATATATATATATATATATATATATATATATATATATATATAGAAGCAAACTAAGGTAAAGATTGAAATCAGAATAAAAGAAAATATGAGGAGAGCGTGCAGGAAACTATTGAGGTCAGTGCCATGCACGAGCAGGAGAAGTGAGTCTAGGAAGGATATGGAGGAAATTCTAAGGGCTAAGCTTTATACTATCAATGAAGAGCCAGAATTGTGTGAAGAGAATCTAACATCACCGAGAAACATGAGGATTGCTAAGAAGCAAGGGAAGAAGAATAAAGCAGGACGATGTTTAGTACCTCATGTTAATCTTAAGCAGTCTTATGTCTTGTTTGTTAATGGGTTTGTTTCAAAAAGTAACTTTGCTGGGTTTCTTCAACGCTAACTTCAACCTTCTTACTTAGTTTCTTGTCAAAGACCGGAAGATGATGATGTTGATTCCTTGTTGGGCAAATTTCAACTTATATGATGGAATGGTGTGTGTGTATTCCTTAACTATTTTATGTATGTACGTATGTAAGTATTGTGTGTACATTGTTCTATGTATTTTCTTCCCTTAATTAATTCATGTAATACTTACTGGTTAATTGTATGTGGTTATTGAAAACGTTTAAGTCCAACATTGATTAGATTGATTAGATATAAGATATTTCACATGCATCTTTTAATTAATATAACCAAGATTATACATAAATAGTAGGTATACGAACAATAAGGTGTGTAACTATCCTTTTTGAATGACAAAATTAATTCTCTTAAAAATTATATTTATTGTCCAAAGTGATACAACATTGTTATGCATGAATATTTGCACTCTCTGTAAAATATTCACTGCTTCTGGTGCTAGAAAATCAAATGTGTCCAAGATAAATAATATAAAAGTATCTTGATTGTCGAAACACGTTTTCTCATGCTTGGCCATTTTCATTGAAGCGACGGTTGTCTGTCTCACAATAAAACCTTCAGTCCTCAACACCACCAGTGGAGAAATCCCAATCAAGTCTACACATGTATATTTTCCTCCTACTCATCCATACACCATAACATATGCTCATCTAAGAGTCGATATTTCCTCCTATGGGTCAGTCAAGAAATTCTAGGCGCCTATTTCTTCATAGATTCTCATACATTGCCTAAATATATCAAATAAGATATAAGATTTGAAAAAAGTTTAGCAAGAGTGACATTCATCCTTTTTATCATCTCTTACTCTTGGACGATGAAATTTAGATGATGAATTAGTTTTGGCTGATTCCAATTATGATTTTAAATTGCGATTCTACAATCGCATATGCAGTTGCAATATTAATGATGTGGTAGTGTCGGCGACTTCATGAGGCCACAATTGAGGTGTGATTTAAAAATGCGTTCAACCGCATTTGAAACCGCATCAGACAGCTCTACTGATGTTTCTTTAAGTATTTTTATCAAATCACAAAATTTGAGAATCCAAAAATTCAAATTACATCTAATATAACGAAAAAATATTAACATTAATTGTTTTTGAAAGGTGTATTTTAAACATCTTTCAATCAGGAGAGTGAGATAGCTCATGATTGTGAATGTGAAAATGTGAAGGAAGATGTCTATATTTATAGGTTAGAAGTGGGCAAAAAAAAACAAAAAGATCCATGGGTTAATTTACGTTCCAATCAATTGCCTCTTTGTTCCAATCGATTTAATGACTAAAAATAATTGATTATAATGGGAAGGTTTTCAAAGATAGTTGTTTCCCTTTATTAAGATGTTGTCACAAATAATTATAAGCACCATTCACACTAACCCAATCAATTAGGTATATGTTCACATCGATTGGATAGTTCAAAAATAGAGTGTTTAAACTCCCCCCTTAAATGAGTAAAAAGTATACTCTACCCCCTGAGAGTATACTTCTCCTCATATGTCATGATCAAAGAGGTTGGTAAAAAGACACAAGGCTGAAATTTAAATATGAAACACATAGTCACATGGGCATTTAGAAAAGGGGAAGACACTTTAGTAATTCAAATTATACTAGAACTTAAAGTACAGAAAGCGAGAAATTTTCAAGAATTGAAACAATGCAAAAACTAAAAAGCAAGCACACTAAAACACATATGTGAGATTATTATTCAACATCAAACTCATCATCAGTGAAAAAATACTTAAGTTAGTTACCCTCGCTCTCGGACGAAATAGTGAGCGAGGAACTTGATTTTGTCATTTGACTTTTCTAGTTTTTTGAGTATCATCTTGAGTAGATCTTCAGTTGTGGCTTGTTGAGGGATATCCTAATCAAAATCTTCTAAGTTTATAGAAGCTTCTTGATCTTCTATATTTCTCTTCTTTCCTTTGGAGATTTTTTCTATCATCTTTCCATAAATAATCAAATATTTCATTATTGCTAGAGCTGCTTCTCCTATTTTAGTTATGTTTTTGTCAAAAGCTTCATACCCAAAGTCGACTCTGGTGTACTCCATGATTTTTGTGACCAAGTTTCCATATGGTAGGAACATTCTTTTTCTCTTTCGTCCCAACATGTAATGGATTACTTCACTTTCCCGAAATAGATTTGATTTTGTTTGAAATCATCCATACAACTTCAACACCAAACTTGGTTATGAAACCAAAATTGCTTTTCCTTAGAAAGAGTATGTGATTCATCACATAATGGATCAAATGAATGTTGGGGCGAATGTAGCCTGCAGTGAAGGGATCAAGTATCATGGTTGTTGGATCTTTCAAGAAAGAGGTTGCAACAATCTTGAAGTTAAACTTGCCTCTTTGTTCTTATGGATTGAAGATAGGATCTTTATGGTTAAGATTTAAGATGATTGCAAATTATTCTAGAGATAGCGATATAGGGTATCTTATTACTTCATAGTAAACTATTCCATTAGTGAAGTAGATATTTGAGAAGAACATTTTGAATAATGATGGATCCATCATTCTTAGGGAGTTGTAGAGGAATTTGGAAAATTTTAATACTTCAAAAATCTTGAAGAATTCACATTCCTTAAAGAAACCAGGATCCAAAGTGTGAATTGTCAAGATCGTTCTGTGGGGGTAGTCTTGGATGAATATTCTCTCTTATTGTTGAGTTGTGAAATAATTGACGAGAGGTATGGAGATAAATCTCATCCTCCTAGGAGCTATGATGGTGATTATGGAGAATTTGAAGGAATAGTCTCACACATAAGTAAAGAAAGAGTAAAATAGGCGATGCGAAATAATGAAAGGAGGTTACTTATTTATTGTGTAGCTTTTCATGATTTTGAGCGTGTAAAACTTGCACAAAATTAATCGAGATTGTGCATAATCAAAATAAGAGCCAAATATTTCCAAAAGTGCCCCCTCCCAATCAATCTGGTTAAGGCTCCAATCAATTGGGTGATCAAATATCTAGAGATCTTGAGAAATTTTCATCAATGGGTGGAATTGATTGACTCTGAGGCGAAGTTTCAATTAGATTTTATTTGAATTTTTAAGTGCCAAACTGCTCCAATCGATTGGCTTAAAGCTCCAATCAACTAGGCTTATGTAAATCAACCTCCTTAGTGCTTTTTGGGCCTTGTGCTGGATTTGCTTTGACTTTCTCATTTTTTGAACCCCTGCCCAACTTATTTGCACCCTTTCTAGAAACCACATGGTTACTAAGTATCCTTGATAATATCCCCTTCTTTCAAGGGAATGCCAACACAATGAGGCATGTCCTTTTCTACGAAGCATTGGACATGATAGTTGGTAAAAATACGAGATAAATATGTCTACCACATACTTATCTTCTCAACCTACTAATAAGTTAGATGATTATCATAGATCAGAGATGTTGAGGCAATCTTAAACGAAAAACTTTTCTTTGATCACCATGGTTGATATACACCATCAACGAATCATCCTTGGATAAGAGACTTTATACCATGCATAATTTTATACTTCATTAATATGTTATACACACACTAAAACAAGTTTTAAGCTTTTATTTCTTAATAAAATATCCTTTAAAATGGTTTTGATTCGTTCTAGTTAAATTGGGAATTGTCAAAATGATTTTGGACAAAATTTGTATTGTCCAATCGAATGACCCTCATACCGAATTGATTAGGTTAGTGTGAAATGTGTCCTTAACGTTAGTGAGAGCGTCTTAATGAACTTCAATGTCTCTGTATATTTTCTTTCCTTTTAAAATCTCATAATGATTTATTTTTAGGGCTTCCAATCAATTGGAGCAAAGTGCCAATCAATTAGCACATTAAATTTGGTCCATGGAAATTTCCTATTTCGTGCCGACCTCTAGCCTAAAAATTCCCTTCACAACTTCATATCTAGAAACGTGATCATTCTATCTAACTCACTATCTCTCTAAAATATTTTCAACTTTCTCTCACATGATTTTAGTCGTAGCGCTTTGAGAAAGACCTTTTTGTTTAGTGATAAGTATTTGTATTCTAGAATGGGCATTGTTGTAAACACCAAGGAATATTTTTTCTTTATTGAATAATTTATCCATAAAGGGATTATTTGTTTGGGTTCAAATCCAAACACTTTAAAAGGTTTTGCTCGGGGATTTAGGTTTTAAGTCGTTAGTTTGATTCGTAAGCTCAGGCCAGTTTACAAGCTTACTTCAATTTAGAGTAGCCCAGTTTAAAATCTCAGTAAGGTTCGTGAGTTCAATCCAGTTTAAAATCTCATTGTGGTTCAAAATAAGTCTGGTTTAAAATCTTAATAAAATTCGGGAGTTCAACCTAATTTAAAAGCTCATTGGGGTTTGAGATAAGTCTGGTTCAAAATCTCATCTTAGTTCGTGGTTAGCCTGGTCAAAATCTTGGTTTGATTCGTGAGTTCATCTTGTTTCAAAAGTTCACTTTGGTTCGAAATAAATATGTAGAAAATCTCGAGTTAGATTGAGTATTAGCCACTTTAAGTTATTATTTGTAAAGAAGACTAGCTACTTCAATCTGTCATTTGAAAGGTAGACTAATTACTTCTCTCTGCAAGTTACTTATTTATTTTAATAAAAAGTCAACATTATTATTTTCTAATACATTGCATTTATATTTTACTTTGTTATTTTTAATTAAAAAATAAAAAGTAAAAGGGAGAGATGTTCAATAGAAATGTTTTTACTGCAACGAAGTTTGCTTATTAAAGAACGCTTTGGCAAGACAAATATCAAAGGTTTACTGTCACAATGGATTTGAAAAATATGTAAGAATGGTTCAAAAAAACTAATAATTATGCTCTAACACATCACTTATGGTATGTTTAGAATCACTGTGAGAATAAAGAAAAACGCGCGTTTACATGACACTACAATTTGTAGCTTCCTTTTTTTCACGTTGAAAATACATTGGGACACTGTATTTTTGCTCCAAAAGTAGTTCCAAACAGACACTTACTTTATTA